CCGATCGGCCGACGGCACCGTTAGAGGCGCCTACGGCTACACCGACGCCAATGGACAGCAACGGATCGTCAAATACTCGGCCGGAACCGAGGGCTTCAAGATAGAGGACGACTCCCCGGCCAGTGGTGGCGGCGATCGCTCCTCAGCCCCGGCACCCACTGCCGCCCCCTATCGACCGCCGCAAACACTGCCGCCGCAGATCTACCGACCGGCGCCCACCGCCGCACCTCAACAGTACAGACCTCCCCAACAGTACCAGTCATACCAGCCCTCATCCCAGGGTAGCTCGTCGTCCGGTAATAATAATGGATACCTGGAGTTGAACGCGAGGCCCGCACCGCAGTCCTATCGCCCATCCACTCAGACCATCCGACAAGTGCTGCCCCAGTCGTACAACAGCGGCGGCAGCGGTTCGTACCAGTCGTACCCATCCCTGTCCTCCTACTCCGGCAACTCTGGCAACAGCGGCTCGTCGTCCATATCGTACCCGCCATCGCAGCCAACCCTCCAGTCCTATCGACCCCCAGCACAGGCCGCCCGCACTATCAGCCAATCGCAGCCCTCGCAGCCGGCCCTCAGATCCTATGCCGGTTTGGCCACAACCTCCCGGCCCGAGGAGGAGACGTGGGGACCCCCCGTAATTAACACCGCACTTCTCAGCTATAATATAGGCAGTCAGGGGTAAATGATTATGATCGTTTATGTGTTTGCATGCTTTATGTGTCCATCCGTTACTGTAACACATGTTTTATGTCTATCATATGATTTTAATTGAAAACTAATTATTTTTTATTTAAGATTTTTCAGTAAATTTTAGATAATTTTTTAGTTTATTTTATTTTTTAAATGAAATGAAGAGAAAAATTGTTATAATTTTTTAGTTATTTTTAAATTAATATTTGAGAGAAATATTGCTTTGATTTTTGTTAACAAAAACCAAAATTTTATTTTTTCTAATGAATAATAAAATAAATGATTTTTTAATTGAAAACATTTTTTAAAACAAATATTTTTATAACAAGTTATGAATTGATAGAAAAATACAAACACATATATAAAAACTATTTTAACCCTAATTAAACACCATTTAAATTATAATTGATGTAAAAACAATAATAACAAGCAATACTTCCGGATATGATTGGCATATAATTAACTAAATAATTAACTTAATCTAAAATATCGTTATTTTAAACTAAACGTGAAACTAAACTAAACTAGTTTTACAACTAAATTACCATTAAATTTAACTCAATCTTATTATCCAAACCTTAATCCAGTGGTCGGCCAACAACCCGATTGGCCCAATCATACAGTGCGCCATCTGTCACATACGAGGCCCCGCCCGCCACCAGTAGTTCCCAGTCGTCAGTTCCGGTCTCCCGATACCAACCATCGGCCGCCCGTTCCCAGTCGTCCGGCCTATCGGAACAGGACTACAGTATGTATAGGGACTGGAATACACCGGTGTTGAGAACCTATGCCAATCTCGCCACTCGTACGACCGGTTCGAGTTCCACACCGGTAGAGGAGGAGAAGTGGGGCCCTCCAGTCATTAACACTGCCCTACTTAGCTATAATATTGGTTCGCAACATGGTTAATTGTTTGGTTTGGTACTGGTGAAGTTACTTTTTACACAATGTATAGTTACTAATGTTATTAAGTTTACGCCAATAGTGTTTTCCTCAAAACTTAATGAATGTTATTTTTTGGTTATTTTTATTTGTTTTTCTATTTGTTATTTTGTTATATTACTATATTTTTGGGTATTTTATTTGCAATAAAAATGGTTTTGTTTGCACATTGTTTAATTATTTCAGCAAAAATTAAAAATATAATAAAATATAGTGTTTGTATTGTAACTAAATATTATCTAGATATATTTACTTTGTGTATAAATATTTCAATCAGGATATTTTTATTAAATTGAAATACAAATACTAATTGATTCTGTACAGAATAACATTAAAGTGTCAAAAATGTACATTTGACAATTAAATTAGTAGTTAATTTGTATAGCACTCAATGGCTGAGTAAATAATAATCAATTAGCGTTCAAAACTTTCCACACTTTATACAAAACTCGTAATATTTATGTAATATTTACTTAATTTACATGTTTTTGTATTTTATCAATTGTCAGTGAATGATAGAAGGTGATATATTTAATATTAGTTTTAATGTAGGTGTTTTTATATGAATGATATTATATAATGCGTGCAGGCTAAACATAAATTTATTTAATCAGATTATAAATTCAGAGATTTTGATGAATTAATTATTAAAATATTTATTTTAAATAGATTTTAATGATGTTTTATAAAATTACAAACAATTTACATTTATTATTAGCCTTAATAGTAATATTAATTAGCGTTGATTGTAAGTATTAATTAAATATATAAAATGTAATTATTATAAAATTTACATTTGCAAAATTAATTAAAAGCAATGCAATTATGGTCTCAATCTCCATACAATATTCAATGGTCTCGATGTATGTATAAAATTATGTTAATGTAATATTTTTACCGTTACTTAACTTAAAAGCCATAGAAATGTACAAAAATCAATGGCCACGAGTCAGACGAATCAAACGGCAAACAGTTTACAACAATAATAATAGGGCCGGCAGTCGGGGGCTGTATAGCCAACAAAATAACAAAACCAGCTTTGATCTGATGGCCACTATATTTATATCACTGTGCAGTAAGTAATTCAACAATCTGTTGTATAAGTTAGTTTTATTATAAATAACTTGCTTGATAATTTCCCTTATTTACCCTAGATAAATCAAGTTGCATTGCCAAATACCAGGGCTATCGCAACTGTTTTGGACATAGGGAAGAGTTTTTAAGTCTAAACAACTGCACGGGTGTGTCAAATGACGACTACCAGTGCGTTGACTGTTGCCTGAGAAGTGCCCTTAGAATGAGCTATAGGGTGACCACAACCATATACAAGGCCCAAATGCAGTGTGCAGGGTACTTTCTCACGTCACGTGATTTAATTTGTATAGAAAACAAGATTAATCGAATCAAACCTAGATTAAATTATGATCTGTATACAAATCCAAACATGGTAACCAGTGGTCAATATCCATATACCAACCAGAACACCGGCTACCCCAATCAAAATACTGGTTACCCTAATCAAAATACTGGGTATCCTAACCAAAATACTGGTAATACTAACCAAAATACTGGTGTAAATAATCAAAATACTGGTTATCCCAACCAGAATACTGGATATAATAATCAGAATATGGGTACAAACAATCAGGTCAATCCTGGGTATAATCCAAACACTGCGACAACTAACCAGAATCCTGGTTATTCTGGTTATAATAATTACCAAAATAACGGTTATACCCAAAATTATGGGTATACCAGTCAGACTAATCAAAATACTAACAGCAATAACCCAGCGTATGGTTAAATGTAATTAATAATTATTAATTATTTTAATTCACATAAATTGGATTAATTTTAAATTTTAAAATAATAAAATAATTGGTTAGAAAACAATTATTTTTAAAACTTATATCAACTTGTCAAAAATAATTTAATTTTCATAATATGTAAAATGCAAAAAATGTTATTTAATTACATTACATTAAACTTTAAATAATTTGATAAATAAAACAGCTTTTAAAATGCAACAATTAATCATGATAATTATTTACAGTAAATTTATACATTTTAAAATAATTAATTGTTTTCAAAAATTCGCTAACATAAACAGCTAACCTTGATAAAAATATGCTCAAATAGAAATTACTGTATATTAAAATCCAGGCACATTATCTAAAATTAGTAAAACATCTTTTAAAATTCAGTAAATAATTATTTGTATTTTTAATAATTAATTGTTCTTAAAATTTAATAAATCAAATAAATCACATTTATCAAATAATAAAACAAAAACATATTAAAATCCAGGTACGTTGTATACTAGACCGCCATCTATGAACAGATTAGCGCCTGTAATAAACTGGGCATCAGTTGAGGCCAAAAAGGCGACCCCTTTGGCGATATCCAAGGGTTGGCCGATTCGCTTGAGTGGTGTCCGGGCTATCAATTCCTTCCGGAGAGCGTCGACAATGACCGGTGGCACCGAACCCATCAAATTGCTCTCCACTAGGCCTGGACTGTATGAAACGCAAATGATCATGATGGCATTTTGCTTTTAGCTTAATTGATTAAATACTTAATAGCGTTGACGCGAATCCTGGGGCCCAACTCCAGGGCCAACACTTTAGTCATCATATCGACGCCCGATTTGGACACTTCGTACGCCATGTTTGCTATATACTTAAATATTTAAATGACCAAGGTGTTAGTAAATTTAGTAATGTACTTTGCACAAGTTAGAACAGTTATACATTGATCAATATAAGGAGGTTTATGGGTATCGACAATATGCTTACCGGGTGTGCGGACGCGATGCTAGAGATGCTAATAATAGTGCCGTTTGTTTGGTCCAAATAGTCGACCGCCAAATGGCAGAGCTCTGCGTAAGCCCTGAGATTGACGTCAATTGTGCGGTCAAACACATCCATGAAAGCCTTGTCCCGCACACCGGCTGTCGGGCCAATGCCCGCGTTGTTCACCAATACATCCAATTTGCCGTACGTTTTGATTGTCTCGTTTAGCAGTCGCTGTAAATCATCACTTTTGGTCACATCAGCGGTCACTTCCAGTGGCTGTGCGCCAGATATAAGGGTATTATTGTTTAGTGTAATATTTTATTAGAAAGTAAATTAACCTTTAATTTTTGCGGAGACAACTCATGAACCTCTTTGGCCACCCTATGAATGTCTGTGACGTTACGTCCGGTGACCACAACACTGGCTCCCAATAGTGAGAACAGTTTGACTATTCCCTCGCCGATGCCAGAGCTCGAGCCAGTTGTCAACACTACTTTCCCCGTGAAATTGCGCGACTTTTTCACTTGACTGTAATCCTCATCACTTAAATTGCGATAAATGTTTGCCTTTATTAGCGAAACACAAATTAAAATTGTTAAGTAAAATAACTTCATTGTAATTATTAATTTAGTTTTTAATTTAATAATAACTAATTTAGTATTTTAATATAAAAAAATATAATCTTTAAAATAATTAATATTATCATCATTTAAGTAATATTTAAAGACAAATGGTAATTTTCCCACCAAATATATAAAATAATATCACGTATATGAAGTACTATAAAACAATGTATACACAATTTATAATACAATGCAATGGTGTTGATAACCAACTAAAAGTATAAAGTAAAAGTATACAGATACAGTATATAATCAATATAATAACTTTGGTTGTAAATAACAATATAATATTTACGTTATACACCAACCCGCTGCTTGATTCATAAAAGAAATGTTTTTTAAACTCAATTTGTTTTACATAAAGTTTGTGATCAAAATAGACCAATGTCAATTTTTCACAAATTGCCAGCACAATTTATTTTTATTAAATAAGTTTTTATTAAAATAATTGAGTATAAATTATAATTAGCAATGTTTACCTTTACCTTCTTAATATAAAATATTTACCATTTTAATGCATAGGTTTAAATACAATTTATATTTATTCAATAATGTTCAAGATTAAATACTGAAAAGAATGCAAAAAGTTGTTTACATGTAACATATTATTTGATGTAACCCACAAAAAATCATAATTGCAATTAAAATATTAAATGGTTTTTAATAATTGCCATTTATTCATGCGATCAAACAAAATATATATTATAAAATGCCGCCCAAGTTATGCATAACCCCGCCGTCAATCACTAGATTAACACCAGTTATATACTGGGCTTCATTTGAGGCCAAAAATGCCACCCCATTGGCCATATCCAGGGGCTGACCGACCTTTTGCAGTGGTATGCGTTTAAACATCTCCTGTTCAAACCATTTGAGCATGGTCGGATCCATATCACCAGCATTTTCATTAATGTTTGTCCGAGTATTTCCGGGACTGAAATATAGTGAAAAATATTATGTTAGTAATATATATTATTTTTTAAATAAAATATATTTTTAGATATAGATTTAGTATACTATTTCACCTGATTGAATTCACTCGTATTCTGGGGCCTAATTCCAGAGCCAGTGTTTTGGTCATAATATCACCGCCCGCTTTGGATATAGCGTAGGCGGTTGTCATTTTAGCCTGGTAATTTAATTTATAATCATTATTATCATAATATCACATAAATCGTATACTGTATAGATGTACAGTGTCTGTTTCTGTAAATTAGTTTAAATCAAAATTATTTACCGGAACCAATCCCGCAATACTTGATATACTAATAACTGTGCCATTCGTGGCCTCTAAATAAGGAACCGCCAAATGGGTTAACTTTAAGTAAGCCCTTAGATTAAGCCGTATTAAATGGTCGAACACTTTCATAAAGTTTGGGTCTTTTATGTGTGAGGCCTGACCTATGCCCGCATTGTTGACCAACACATCTAATTTCCCAAATGTTCTTATAGTTTCATTCATTAATTTGTTTAAATCGCCGCTTTTGGTCACATCGGCCACAATTTCTAACGGCTAATAATATAAATGAATAATTACAAAAATATTATTTTACATTTGTTTGGTAAACAATAATATTTTTACCTTGAGTTTATTAGGTGACAATTCTTGTGCCTCTTTGGCCACACGTTTCACTCGATCCGCTTTACGTCCGGTGACCACAACATTGGCCCCGAGAGTCGAGAATAGCTTAACGATTCCCTCCCCGATCCCGGAGCTCGAACCCGTCACTAACACTACTTTACCCGTAAAATTGCGTCCATTTCTTGCATTTTTAAATACACTATTATCCACAGTATTTTGGGAGTGAATAATGTTTGCATTTAAAGCAAACACGTATAGTAACACAGAAATGTATGAGATATTCATTATTACTTTATTATTTTTAATAGTATTGATGAGCGGACTGAACACTAAATCAAAAATTTTAACTACCGTTTTGTATTATTTTATGTATCTGTAAGAATGTTAAAGTCTATTTATATAGCAAATCGCTCACGTGTTTACCATAGTATACAGTGTGTAGTGTACCTGCACTATAATTATTATAATATATTCGTATTTTATTCAGAATAAAATATTGTCAGCTGAAGGTTATGGTGCAAATGGTGCAAAAAGTTCAGCTACACTAAATTTGTTACTTTCTTATACCAAACAAAGCTTAACAAAAAAGGAGAGAGAGAGAGAGAGAGAGAGAGAGAGAGAGAGCTGTCTTTAATGAAACATGTTTCCTAAACTACGTGTGAATAGTGTATAAATTATATTAAATATAAAGAATTTTATAATATAATTATGGTATTTATTCTCTATCACTTACCATAATTCTAACCGCATTTACGGTTCCCAAAGCCCGTATATACCCAAACAATGTGACATTATTTCTTATGCCCAATACTACCATAAAAGCGGTTTTTGGTTAGAAAAGAGGTTGGCACTAACTCCCATTCCATTGAACCTTATTTATTTACGAAAAATTAAGTACCAAGGCTGTTTTAAAACAAAATTTATAAATCTCATTTGAAATAAAATAACATTTTTAATTAACATTATTAAAATTAAATCATTTTTGCATAAAAATTAATATTAGTATTTAATATGAGAGTACAATCAACATCTCAATGTAATATAATTAATTAAATTCAATTTGTGAAATACAATTAAATTAAATTAATTATAAATGTGGCCTAAAAAACTAATACAACTAATATTGCAATAAATGCTACACTAATTAATTTAGGCAATTGCTGTCAATTTTTTGTACATTATATAAAATTCATCTTTATTTATGTTACTGTTTTAAAATAAATTGTGATAAAAATTAGTATTAAATAAAATTACATAATATTTATTTATAACTGTAATATAATGTTAGTTAATTTTTATTTATTCCGTAATGCTTAAAAGGAGATACTAAATTATTGCTATACATGTATGTATGTATTTGATGTAGTCAATAAAAATATCATTATATTCAGTTAAATAATAACTGTTTGCCAATAATTAGCATTTATTTATGAAAATAAAATAAAATATTTTATAAATTGATTTATAAAATTCCTCCCGAGTTATACAAAATCCCGCCGTCGATCACTAGATTAGCGCCCGTTATATACTGCGCGTCCTTTGAGGCCAAAAACACGGCAGCATTGGCCACATCCAGGGGTTGACCAACTTTTTGTAATGGTATGCGTTTAAACATTTCTTGTTGCAACATTTTTGTCATTTCTGGATCAGCACCATCATTAATATTTGTTTCAGTATATCCGGGGCTGAGTATGAGATATATTGTAATCAATGCTATTTTTAAAATAAAATTACCTGATTGTGTTTAATCGTATTCTGGGGCCCAATTCAAGGGCCAGTGTTTTGGTCATAATATCGGCGCCAGCTTTGGATATTGCGTAGGCGGTTGACATTTTAGCCTGTTGATTA